CCTAGTACAAGTAATTATTTTTATGATTTATCTGTGCTGTACTAATGAGCTATATATTATTTTAAGAATATCTCCAGAAGTAGTCAATGCCTAGTCAAGGGGGCCATGGCCATATGGACTAGGCATATATGACTTTTGCCATGACTAGCGACTTTTCTAGTGACATCCACCCGTGACTGCAGATCGCGCCGGCTTTGAATGTTCTCACGAAACTCATTTACTCCGTTGACAACAAGATCCTGATCGACGCGTGCTGGGCTATTTCCTACCTCTCCAATGGCTCAAACGATAAGATCCAAGCTGTCATCGAGTCTGGTGTCTGCCGCCGCCTCGTCGACCTACTTTTGCATCCATCAACTTCTGTCCAGACTCCGGCCCTGCGCTCCGTAGGAAACATCGTGATGGGTGACAACCTGCAGACCCAGGTGGTCATTGCAAGCGGCGCTCTCCAGGCCCTTCGTTCGCTCTTGAGCAGCCAGAAGGACGGCATCCGCAAGGAGGCATGCTGGACGATCTCGAACATCACCGCCGGCTCGTCGCCGCAGATCCAGGCAATCATTGATGCCAACATCATCCCCGCCCGTCGAGCACATACCCGGTGCGCTCGTCGGCGAGATTGGCTTGCTCGGCGTCGTGGCCTCGCTCCTTTCGGGCCGCCAGGCCGCCATCATGCTCGTAGGCACTCATCAGTACTGTCTGCACGATCGGCGCCGCGCCTCCTGGCCATGCGCGCCCGTCGAGCACACACCCGGCGCGCTCGTTGGCGAGATTGGCTCGCTCGACGTCGTGGCCTCGCTCCGCTCCGGCCACCGGGACGTTTTGACCCGCGCACCTGTCTCCAATGCTGGCCGCATTTGCCTGGGACTCTCGCGACTACTGTACCGGTGTTCTTCATATGTTCTCTTATTACAGTGTATCCTTTATGAGTTTTGTAAGTTTCGTCATAGTATATAGTATACTGTACCATACGTTCCTGACAGTACCTGTACTAGTTTTTCTTGGGTAGGAGTACAATCCAGCGATCGCGGTGCGCTGTGGTAGTATATGCGCCATGAGGTGGCAAAGTAAGGTTGTGATGCCTGCGTGGTTTCCGCCTGGTGTTGTGCCGGGTGAGGCTGTGTTTCGTGGAGCCTTGTATTAGGGATTGCGCACGTATATAGTGCAGTCGTGGCATGGCAAGGACTCCCATCTCCCCCCTCCATCATCTTTCACTGCACGTGTCGCAAATCTCTACCTTCACTACGAATCATGTCGGTACCAGTTGAAGGTGTGCCTTTCGAAGCGTCTTCACACAACAAGAAGGATGGGGATGGTTTGTGGAGGATGCTGTGGGCGGATGTCAAGGGCAAGAGAGCGGAGTTTCTTTCCTCCGCCAAGGCCACTGTGGCCAATCAGTTGACATTCGTTAGTGTTGGCGAGCATTTCAACCACACATATCATGGCTAATGAACCTTGATAGGCAGGTCTTTTTGCTGCCCTCATGGGAGCTTTCCTTATCGCGAGCTATGTCTCGCTCTCGCCGGATCCGCTTGAAGAGATCCTTAATGTGCTCAAGACACAAACATGTCTTCTTGAACAAACACAGAACTCGTCACAACATAATTGTACAGGTTCAGGTAATGACATGGGATCGTCGTCTGGTGCTACAGGCACTGTGGTTCCCGTCAATATTCTTTAGTTTCTTAGCTTGATCCTAGCGCTTCTGTCTGCTCTCCTAGCAACCTTGTTCCAGCATTGGTTGTCCGCGACCATAAGTACAGCCATGCATCCTAAGGCTGAGACCATCGAGCAGTACTCACTGCGACGGCTTCCATCCTATGCTGCTCTAGACCGCTACTATCTTGACCACATCCCAACTCTGATTGTTGGCATCATGCACATGGCCGTCATCTTATTTCTGGTCGGATTATCCTTGTTTTTGTTCCCAATTGATGCCACTATAGGCCTCACGGTCACTGTAATCTCTGGTGTGGCTGGAATCCTGTACACGATCATCAGCTTGATCCCATTGGTGGACTCTAAATGTCCATATTATACACCACTCAGCCATTTACTGGCTAAAATTCTATATGTGGTGGTCTTCATGGGGTGTGCTGTTTTGTATCTTGCAAGTTTATTCTTTGCACTGGTGCGCTTGATATATAAACAGGATATCACTCTCAAAGACCTCGATCCTCGATATGTCATGGTGTTTGTGGGAGATCCTGTGCCATTCATTCAGTTCCTCGGGCCCTTGATTAAATGGATCTTCTTCTCAAGGTCCATGGAGGACTTTGACAGGATATTTGATCATGCATCTCGGTCTTCTGATGACCAGGCCATTGGTGCAACTCTTCAGTTTATAACAGCTCATACAAGAGCCTATCTCTTGAGGCAGCCCAAAGCGCTACTGCATCTGGTTCGATGCATGCTCACTCTGAATGACCAATGTGTCTGTGATTTCTTTGTCCGACTCCGCAATGACGCAGCTGCAATGAAGGCGCTTGCGTCTGTGTTTCAATCGATTGATTCAATGGATACTGCTGTTGGTTCAATTCGGATGCTCCAGATGCTTCTATCTTCAGACAATCGCATGGATAATCGATTGCAGGCTCAAAGCAATCAGGATCTTCGGTGGAAGAACATGGATGAGATTCAGATTGTGTTCCCTGCCTTTGTCATTGAACTGCACAACTGGAGTATCGAGGCACTCAAGCTCAAGAATCCTGGACTATTTGCGGCAGTTGCAAGTCTACGTTGGACACTTATTACTGCCTTGAGCAATATCGAAGGTCACCCATACAGTTCTAGTGATCCAGGATTTGGAGCCATGTCTGGTATCAAGTCCATCCTCATGGCTCTTGATAGTGTTGAAAACCTGAGGTTACTTCCTCTATCGAACACCGGGTCAACTGATCCAGAAACCGCACTTTTGGGAGATATATTATCGAAGACCGTACAGCATGATCTTGCTGCTCGCAACGTGCTAACACTCTTGGACAGTGTCAGTTGTTGCAGTTGGCCCACGGAAAACTGGCAACAACCTGACTTGAACTACATTCGCAAAGGCCAGGTGAGCCTCTGGGAGTGGACTAGAGCATACCCATCTGGACAGTCTGACCATACGACCATTGCCTCGACTGCTCTGTACAAAATGAGGGATCACAGTCAAGTTGAGGCAGCCATGGGTGTTTCCACAGAGGTGTCTGTGGTGAACAGTACACCCATAGATCCTGTTGCAGTACTTGCCCTGCGCAAGCTCTTTAGCCTTGTGCATTTTGGTGAGCATCCCATGGAAATGCCCGCAAACGAAGATATCGCCCAGAATCACGAAGCCGGGTCAATATCGGGTGTGCCATACCGATTACAAGAGCCATGTTTGCAACCTTCTGTGGAGGAGGGCATACCACTGATGAGTGTTATTACTAACGGTAACTAAGAGGAAGTACTTGATTGCCCTTATCTGTTACCACTGCTAGTGTACATTTAGGTACTGGGTTTCAATACCATTCGTAGATTCCTGTATCAAGTTCTTGACTTACGTGTCTACTGTATATACTCTGAATTTACTCCCTCCATAGACTTTCAACCTCCTCCTTTCCATGTCCACGGTTAGCTAGTGTAGTGTCCTTCTGCTTCGCCGGTAACTTCTCGATCCTTGTAATACGCCGGCTTGCCATATACAACACATTGTGTAACATTTCATAGGTCATTGCCGATGACCCAACTACCGTTCAAGGTCTGGAGGTCCGAGGAACGGTCCGGAAGCCGCGCACAGTCGCAACAAGAGCAAACTGAATGCAACGGACTTGACCACCATAGCCGCACGCCGTTGTTGTATGACCGTTTGCCCCGCCATGTCCTTTATATCTCTTCAGGCATCACATTGCCGCAAGGGGGACAGCTGATGAGGATGACATGCGCGATACACACCCTTAACATCAAGTTCATCCGTCGCACAGGAACGGCTGAAAGCGTGCTGGGCGCTGAGCGACAGTAACACCCATGTGACCATACCGAGCATCTCATTCGTTAGTTGGGCGACTCGCGTGATACAGTTTACGTCTCCGAAGGAGAAGAGGTGGAAGTGGAGCGAGGAGTGAGGAGGTGTACTTGTTATTGTGGATTTGCCGACGGTGTTGGACGTCGCGGCCGTAGCGTAAGCTTTAGACTGCTCTTCTATTCTCTATCCCCGCTGACAGCAGTATGCATTGACAGACACGCACACTCGTCCTCACCCACCGAAGCCCTAGCCCTCGCCTCAGAATTCGGCCCGTCCCTCCGTACAATTCAATCCCTCCTCGATGTCCACCTATCCCTCTCCACACCCCGCATCACGAAGACCATGCGACTGGGATGGAGCCTTGAATGGCGTTTATGCGATGCACTTAGTGGGCGGATTCTACGCCATGATAATGTAGACGCGCAATATAATCATCATTGAAAAGCATATATGACAACAGCATCCAGACTGACAACAAGCAAGCGTCCTCAACAGCGTGAACATCTTCGTCGGTTTGGCGTCGGAACCGCCGCGCCATGATAGCCGGAAATCAGCCGGAAAAGAGCACGGAAGTTCCGCAGACAAAATGGCGGGATGGCGCCAAGCATGCACGGGTAGCAACTGCAAAGCATATATGGCTGGTGGCCAGAATAGCCCCTGCACGACAATCGTGATGTTGAAGACCCAACATTCCACGCTACACGCTCCCGTGCCAGCCCGCCGCATCTCGTTCCCGCACCACCACTGCACCTCCTACCACCCAATACACTCATTCCCGGCCCTGAACTTGTCATCCAGGGCTATACATGCAGCGTGTACATCTTCCCCGCTGCATGGCCGCGCAGTACACTGCTCGCATCTCGACCGGATGATCTACGCGAAAGCGCGGATGAGAGCAAGGAGGAGCGCAAGACGTGTATAGCCCGCGCCATGGAGTATATTCTGTCAGCAAAAGCTACATTCGAGCGCGATCATCCCGATGCGTCGGATGACGACAAACGCGTGCTCTGGGTGACAGCGACGTGCTGGGTGCGCACATCAGGTGTGCGCGCAAATTCGGAGGACAAGACACTGCTCTGCACCCACGCGAACGGGCTTCATGGAACAACATACATGTCCCTCATCCGGCGCTTACTAGCTCACCGCAACAACGTCGCCGAAGCCTGGGCGCTCGACGGTGTGCAGCACGGCGATGCGGCGCTCCTGAATGCCGGATGAAACGGAATATATATTTCGACTGGCACGATATAACGCGTGATGTGCTATGCTTTATACTGCACTTCTTGCCTTCGGAGTCTACGTCTGGTTCGATGCCGACGATTCTGCCGCGTATAGACGGTGGATTGCGCAAAGTCTACGCGCTGGGCCACTCGTTCGGCGGGTGCGCCCTCGTCCTCGCGGTGTATCACCACCCAAAGTTCCTCACAGCTCTTATGCTCGTAGACGTCGTGATTGTACCCCAGAGCTCGACCGCACGATATCTCGTCCGCCCGGTTGGGTCGCTCTGGACGGTACAATCTCGATGGGCGGCTACCGCTCCCTACCGCTCTACATCACCAACACCCTCGGTCGCCGCACCCACTGGCCATCGCAAGCCGCCGCACACGAAGTGCTCGCGGCGCACCCGTTCTTCGGGTCGTGGGATAAGGACGTGTTGGATGTGTATGTGAAGCAGGCGTTGGTCGAGAGTGAAGAGGGTGGCGAGGTGCGGTTGGAGTGCGATAAGGAGGATGAGGCGGCGGTGTATGCTAAGAAGCGCGCTTCGTGGGAGGCGTGGGGGGTTCTTCCTCGGGTGGATGAGAGGGTGGCGTTGTTGTGGATCAATCCTCCTGCGGGCGATAGGTGAGCGCCTTTCCTACAGGCTATGATGTTTCTTGCTGATGGGATGGTGCTGTAGTGTTGTTCAGACGCGTACGATAGCGGCAGCCCGCGTGCGGCGGTAGACCATCAACAATGCATATGTTGTCATTCAGAATGGCACGCATCTGGTGGGCAATCACACCCAGTTATCACGCATACCCTCGTTGACAGGCCGCTGTACAGGCTGTATAGACCCACCCAAGCCAAGTCGGTACGTCTCGCACTTTGGGCTTTCAGTTCTACCGAACTGATTGTACATACATAGCTAAAGCAATACATACCTTCTTACACTCCGTCGACGCGGGCGCCGTTGGCGATGTGCACGAATTGTGACTGCAGGATAGAGAAGAAGCCGTAGTACAGCATAGGTCGCGCCCTCGGCTTTAGCCGCGGTTGTATGTGGAAATCAAATCATGGGTTACTAGATCTATCCGCAGCGCTGTGGTGGTGCTCAATCTACTGCGACCCTTCTGCCTTCCATTCCAGTCTGACATAAGCCTCTGAGCTACAGGGCGCACTGGGCCGGATGCTGCTTATTCAAGTGTTAGCTTGTCTGAAGCGCCAATGCTGTGCTTGCGAGCACTTTCGGGAAAAGCGTGATTGCCTGGCACACGAGGCGAACGAGGTTGTTCACGCCTCAGGTTACCACAATACACTGTTTGTGTATGTTCACTACTCCTTTGGCCCCGACATGTAGGCATGTAACGAGACCCGGACTATGATGCCAAACTGTCGAGCATGCACTGCCCCGCAACGTGTCTCCCACGTTGTGCTGGGTCTTCATAGTATATAGCTCTGATGGGCGACAAGGGCTTTCCAGATTGACGCGTCAATGACGTTCACAGTGGCTTCTCTGGCTTCTGCGGGTAGCCTATCTTACCCAGCACGGCGCCACCCTCGACTCGGTCACAATAATCCGTGAACGCAGCACAGGCATATAACCCCCTCCCTAGACCCCCTCACACCCAATACTCATCTCCGAGTGGTTACTCTATACAGGAACATCCAAGGGCTTCGGGTTTGCCGAATTCAACACGCTCGAGACCGCGCGCGCCTTCGTCGACCCGAACTTCCCGTTCGTCCACCTGCCCCCGCCCCAGTCCCACGGCGCGTCCGCCACCAAATTGTTTTGGCAGATGCTGGAGCAGAACCCGCAGGCGCCGATGGGCGGACGGCGCATGAAGATTGATTTTAGTCAGAGCGCTAATCCGGGCGAGCGGGGTGGTGGAGGGAATGCAAAGAAGGGTCCTGGAAATGATGGGACGAGGGATATCGGCAACGCTGCTGCGCCTGTGTTGCTCTTCAGAGGCTTGGACGTGCTTAGCGGGCCACAGGCAATCTTGCAGGCCATGAAGACCAGTTCTGGTCTGCACAGGGAGGGCGCAAAGGGCATGAAGAAGATCGTGCTTGTCAAGGACCGTGTCAGTATGCAAAGCTGGGGCTTTGCCTTTGTCGAGTTTGTTGATACGCAGGTGAGTGTAGGATGAGATTGTCGTCATTGTGAATAGGCGCTGATGGGTGATGGCAACTCTAGAGCGCGAGTGCGGTGTTGGCAGCGACGATGAGCCCGCAGATCCACCCAAATGGGTTCCGTATATCCGATAAACCCGTGGCGGCGAGCCACGGATGGCGTGTCTACTCTGCTCACGCCAGTTTAAGTCTCTCGATCTCGTCAAGCGCCATGCAAAGGAAAGCAATCTTCACAAGGTATGCCTCTCCCCATCTCTCTCTCCCTCCCGCGCGCGTGACTGACGTATCACCGTGTGTATCAGAAAAACCTCGCCGACGCAGTGTTGTGCGAGGCAGCACACAAGAAGGTCGCCGCGATGAATGGAGGGACCAAGAGCGAAGAGAAGAAAGAGGAAGAGCGGAAGTACCGCAACCGCGCCTCCGAGCGCCGCGTGATCTACGGCCAACCGGACGTCCCCCTCCCCGAACCCTCTTCCTCGCGCCAAACCGGCGGCCCCAAATTCGCCCCAGCACAAGCCTTGCCCACTCCCCCGCCTACGATCAACCCCGGCGAAGACTCGAGCAACATCGGTAACAAACTCCTGAAAGCTATGGGGTGGAAAGAAGGGACCGGGTTGGGCGTCGAAGGGAATGAAGGTCGGACGGCGCCGGTTCAAGCGGCTGTATATGCGTCTGGGGCGGGGCTTGGGGCGGCGAAGGGACGGTTGGTGGAGGATGAGGTTAAGAGGAAGGAGGGGTATGCTGGGTATGTTGAGAGGGTTCGGGACGCGGTATGTGTTTTCTTTCAGTTGCAACGGAGGGGGATGGCTGATGTGGATGTGTGCAGGCGAGGGATTGGTTGATGGATGGTAGCAAGTGAGACTAGTGGTCGGACTTGTGGGATACTTGATCGGACGTTGTATGCTTGTTGTATGCTCAGTATTATCATTATACATATAGTAGGGTACAGCACTACTCTAGGAGCCCTCATCTGGGATGACGACTGAACATAAAATGGGGTGTTGCAAGTCTATCCATCGTCTTCGCCGCGGAACGCACTATTGAGCATCTGCAGACCATCCCAGGCCGCCTTGCATTGTCGACGAAGAATCTTGCATTCCGCCACCAATCCATCTCGCTGTTCTTTCAAGTCGTCGGCTTCGAGCAGAAGCGCGTCTTGTTCGCGAATCAATGTGCTGTGTCGAAGACTGAGCTCTGAGTGTCTCTTCTGCAAGTTCTTGAGCTCGACTAGAGCATCATTTCGTTCCACGATGACCACGTTGCGTTCGTTGCAGATATTCTTATATTGGGCCTCCAATACGTCGTGCCGAGTCATCAGTGCATTCTTCTCGGCGCGCAACTCTTCCCGCTCCAGCTGTAGAGCTTCTCCTTCCACGGCTAGACCGTCGCGTTCCATGATCAACCACTTCTCAGAGCTCAACAGGTCGTTGCGCTCTCTCCTCAACCCATCCCGGTCCCGGCCCGTTCGGTCTCGAGCGCTCCGCACTTGGCCCGCAGGTGTGCGCACTCGGTTTGGAGCGAAGTCAGGAGACTCTCTAGGCGTCCTGCTCCAGCCAGGATTGAAGTTATGTCCGTCGAGAATAGTGGTGGTGCCTCGGGATCATGTGCTGGCGCAGCTTGAGGCGCGGTCAACATAGGCAAGAGCTGGTTCGTAGGCGAGGATGGCAACATAGACTCGCGGTCTCAAGTCCGCTAAAGATGTTCCAGTATGCAGTCAATCAGAATTACCCAGAGCAGCGAACTATTGGATATGAGGACGCTAAGCGGTTGAGCGACTGATCGCAGAGAAGAAAGCGAGCTAGTATCGGGAACGATAGAATGAACCGTGACCAGGCGCGTGATCACAGCTCTCCAGTCCCAATGCTGCCATCTCTACCTCCCTCACCCGGATCCTCGCGCGATCTTTTGCCTGCTCTCTCGCCTGCTCCTCCGCAGGAGCCATTGCACGCTCGTTTGGAAGTCTTATCGTTCAGTACTCCATCAAGTAGCTCCAGTCAATCTCATTCATATAATGGTCAAGCTCCGGAGCTACGCACGAAGCCCGTTTCCGCCGGTGAAGCGGCATGGATTGGCCAACAGCATGCGGCACGAAATGCACGGTCCAAGGGCGATGATTGTCGGCGGCGCTCAACTTCGCCTCGCGGCAGGTCGCCTCTCCACGCCTATGCTCGCAGTCGACCATCCAAACGCCCACCTCGTCGACAATCCAGTCAACATTCAATTACCCCTCGCAGTCGGTCACCATCCCCTACCAGGTCCCGACGTCGAGATCGCGAGCACCAGCGTCATCCCAGGTCCCCACGTAAAGTCAAGACAAATCAAGTTGAAGCTCCTGGGACAGCGGCACCGTCGCACATCTGGGATGGCTCCGCGATAGACATTAGGGTGACGGGGGCAGATGCTCGTCGGGTACCCACGGCAATGTGTACGACCCTGCCACCGCAGCCAGTGCCACGGTCTCTCTCCTGTTCGTCTCCGCAAGCAAGACTCAAGCTGAAATGGCCCGGCGTTAAGACCACGACACTATCAGTGGGCCTTGGGGAAGACGTTCGAGCCCTGTTATTTGGGAGTTTGAGTACGCTTGACCCGCCCATCAATGTTCCCCGCCCTGAGGGCGAAAATACCGCTGGGTCGATGGTGCTTCTCGGTCTTCCAGCCAGGATCATGCGGGAGTATGTACGTGGGGAAGATTCGCATGTCACAGTGCAAGAGTTTGTCGCCTGGATGTTGCGGAATGGTACACCATTTGGATGGGCGCAGTCTGGAGTCCGATCCACTGGTGTCGATGAGCCTCCGTTGCAATTCTTAACATCAGTGCCTACCTTGAATCAGTGGCGATCGCAGTTAGCGACCGTCCTACGGGATAGGCCATGGGCGCGCGCTTTTGCGCTAAACGGTGGAATCGGGTGGCGTCTCACCATGCCGGTTGGAGGCCAGAGCTACGCCAATTCTGTCGCAGAAGGTCCTTCTGGATGGGCGCTCGTGCACGGCGACGAGTTGCCTTGGCCAGCAGATTATGTCTGGGATGAAGCACCTGGCCGCACATATGACATATTGGTCGGGCGCAGTGGATAATTCAGCTTGTGGCCACCACAGGACCTCTGGGACACGATCTTTAGCAATGGATTGTGGACGACAGTCCACGAGGACGCCTCCTGGCCACGCGCGCCCGTCGAGCACAAACCCAGCACGCTCGTCGGCGAGATTGGCTTGCTCGACGTCGTTGCTTCGCTGTCTTTGGGCCGTCGGGCCGCCATTATGCTCGTATACCTTCTTCGATCACCAAACAGCGTGATCTTCGTGAACGATCTCTGTGGGGACGAGACTTCCGCGTGGCCTAGGTTTGCCTTCGCGCGCGCACGCATCTGTGGCCTGCAATCCGCATTGACCTTAGCGTGCTGTGGCTGTAGGCCGGCATCTGAAGTGCCCCGGAATGGGACAATCCATCTGCACTGCGTCTTCTGGGCAAAGTACGCTATTTGGCTCCAATGGCCTATGTCACGGACACTACGAGGGGCTGAAGGCGATGGGGAGACCGACAGACTGATCGAGCGCGACGTCGGATGTCGTTGAACGTGGCACGAGGTACTGCGCTCAAGCCTCGCACAGATCTCCACAATCTTCAAGTAATGTGCTGGGCACCACTCAGCATGGAGGCTAGACGGGTCGACGAGGTGTGACGCGTGGCGAACGTCAGCTGAGGCATCGGCGTTACTCAGATAGGCGACCTGAGACGGATGCGGACCCTGTCAGGTTGCTTTTGAGAGTCGAAGGTTGATCGCACGCAGGGCCTGTACCGTCGTCTCTCCGTTATCGGCCCATGGCACACAATCCCCTCTATCATCGGCGCCCACTGCTGCCTGTTGGAGACGTCTGTGGAGTTCCAGGAGAGACTGAATTCAAACTCGTACATAAAGACGTGTTCCCCTATTGTCACTTCTCCAGACATGCTTCCCGAATTCATATGCTATAGGTTCCTCGTAACGTATTTAGCATGCACCATCTTCGCCGCCACCATATTCTCTTCCTCACTTGTCGAATAATCCCTTGCAATCCATCACAATATATCTCTTTCTGTGTACTTTTCCGACTAATTAGGCATTCTTGTCGTTGGCCATCTCGCGTACTCTCTTCCGCGCGCGATATGGTGTAGACAGCATGCTCTTACAAGCCAATCTACATGGTGTGAAGGTTATCTGCAAACATGACAATCGTTCACCGGGTTCACCTGCGGGACTGGCTTGCGGGTTTAGGCTGTTCCGGTCTTGCTAGGTCCCAGGCAAGGGCAGGGACGAATATACGATCCTGTGCATTTTTACCTGACTGCTGGACCAGAGTCAGAGCGTCGGAATCTGTACCAAAACCGGGTTGTGCAACGTGGGGATCGAGGCAATTCCAATATCACTGTAGTGCTCCGGTTTGTATTCAACCACCACCACCGCCACCCCCACCACTACCGCCACCCCCACCATCTACGTCGCTACAATCACCACCTCTTTTGGTCTCTCGCACAATGGCCAGCGTCACATTTGAGTATCATCAAACGTCGCTCTGTACTGGCATCAAGAGCAAGCGGCCCATAACGCCTGCTATGATGGACGTCATACGCGGCTTGGGATACTGCGTCCTTTGTCGGGAGAGAGAGAAGAGGGACTCTCAATCGTCTCAAAAATCTAGGAAGAAGAGGGCCATGACTACGACGGACAAGGAAGAGGAGTGCATATTCTGTGAGTAATACAACATCATTGACAGCCAGTACGAAGGTCATTGACCTTGGACATTCAACCAGTCCATATGAGAACTATTGTACTCTCCGCCAACGCTCGACTTCTGGATATTCGTCTTACCGACCTCGCTGTCCCCGCATCCCCGGTATGGAAATCTGGTCCCTTTGATTCGATTGGGAAAGGCCGCAACGCTAGCAATGTACGTATTCTACTGAGTTGTTGAGAGATAGCTCAGGTCATCTTGTAGGAGGCCTGTAAAAAGGTTCTTGTGCTGGAGCTCATGCGGCACATAGCTCGGCGGAAAGACGCTAAGTGCGTAGTGAAGAGGCCCTTTCCTCTGGATGGCAAAAGGTCAACCTGCGGTCCGTGTACCTTCGTCAACCCCTCCATGTTGCGATGCATAGTATAACCTTTTATGCCGTATACAGATTGGTGCAAGTCCTCCATCCTGTGCGCATCTCAATTATGTATGATCTGCGGGAGTGAACTTTGCGATCTATGTATGCTCGAAGAACAGGTATAGTTGCCACTCGTCTGTAGCTGACACTGCTTGCTCATTCAGTTTGTAGCCGGTGCCTTGCGCTACAAACATGTCCCATCAAATGGCCTTGGTTAAGGTATTCCAACCAGGTGAAGCCGAACAAACGCTCGAGGACTTGGAGCAAGTACCGTCTATGTGATCGAGATTACCATCAATTGTAAGTAAGGACTCATTCTCTCCTAGTGAACGGCCTGCAGGTTGGGCGCCATGTCAAGATGGCGGCCCGATCAGGCTTCAGCTCGCGGCCGGATCCGGCTTTCCTTCTTACTCCCAATTCTACTCTGCGCTCGCAGCCGGTGTCCCCGTCGTTATATCAGGTTTCGATATAGAAGAACACACTCTGTCACCTGAATATCTCAGTGAGAATTTTGGGGATGAGAAGGTCAATGTCATAAACACTACAACCGGCGAGTCGCAGGAATGGGCGTTTAAGCAATTCTTGGCGACCTTTCGCGACCCAGCATTACAGAACCCACCTCTGAAAGTCAAGGTGCAATAGTATCTCCACTCTTCACTTCACGAGCCTCACGATTTCTCTCAGGATTGGCCGCCCAGCTCTGACTTTCGCCTCAAGTTTCCTAGACTGTATCACTAGTTTGAGATGCATCTGACGGCCCCCGACATCACCACGTTCGAAGGTAAACTCAACCTCGAGTTGTCCATGCCGGAGGGTTCATGCCCTCCTGATACAGGTACGTTCATAATCATTCAATTGTAACCTCTTGACATCATTAACATCAGTGCAGGCCCTAAAGGATACCTTGCTCACGGGGCGGCGGGCAGCGCTAGTACGTTACTTCATGGGGACATGGCGGATGCCATCAATATTTGCTTCTACGCACGCCGCAGTGACGGCTCTAAGGGCGGCGCTGTGTGGACTACAATCCATCGAGACAATAGGGACCCTGCCGCAGACTGGTTACGTCGCGAAAAACGAGGACAATTTGACGGACACCCGATTCACGCTCAGACGATATGTCTCACGGACGACGATGTGAAGTGCCTCAGGGATCAAAGGATCCGTGTCGCACGATTTGAGCAACTGGAGAGGGAGACCGTGATCATCCCTGTTGCTGTACCTCACCAAGTGCGCTTTCACAAGACATGAAAGATCCCCCAACGCTAAAA